ATGAATCAACATGAAATGACCTAACTTGATCATATGTACTGAACTTACTCAAAAATCATGCATTTTGCTCAACAAAGTGCCGTGAGGTGCGCTTCGGGCGCTACCGTCGGCTTAAGGCCAATCCTCGGCCAAACATCAACTTACCTCGACCACTAAAGCTTGACCGATCATAAAATGCTATTTAAAGCTTATTGAGACTAGGGTTACTCGCATGATTCTGATCATATGCCATAATAACATAAAGAGTAATTACACGGCCCGTGGGCGTGCGCTAGATGCGCAGTCCACAATCATAGGCCATTTCATGAACTGAACCTCAATTTACCTCGACCCATCTCTTGAGACTGAACATATAATGATCTGAAGTAACTAATTAAACATGAAATGCTCGGTGAAATTTGAACAGAACTAAAGATCACTCGGTTAGACTCTTCATGGCCAAAACCGAGCTTAATCGTGAACTTCCTTCTGAAATTCTGAATTTAACTCGAATAATTAACCTTTAATAACCTTACTAATATGATTCTAACATGCTGAGGAAATTACCTCTGAAATTATTCGAAAACTGCTAATGAATAGGTCATAATTTTCCTTCTCCGAGCAACCCTTGCGCGTGTGTGTGACCGAAATGGTGTGTACTTTGCCGTGCGATAGCTATTTCTTCTTGATTACCTGAAATTGCTGAACTCTGCTCACTCTCTATACTCTCATCTCTCGACGGCTGAAGAAAAATAATGGGGAGAAGAAAGGAAATTCTCGGTCTCCACATTCATATGTTAGCCGAGAGAAAATGAAGGAAACGTGTCTTCATTATAGCTCAACACTTGCCTTAATATAAGCTAACTTGATGATGACTCACCTCTCTTTCTATTGCCACGTTGCTGAGCTAGGATGAGGAGAAACTTAGTCTCCAATGATAAAAGGAACTTACGGCTATATATATACCAATAACACGACTTAATCACTAAATTGTGATTAATCTGCTAATTAAATTACTAACTTGTGTTTAATTATTTAATTAAACAAAATACTTAATTACCAAAATTATTCCGAACGTAAACGGTACGTCGGAAATGTATTTCGGTAATCTCGACTGAAAATAATTAATTCCGAAAATAATAATCGACAACGTTATTATATCGGAACTAAAACATGATTTATATGAATAAACTGAATGACTTGCTCATTAACACCTTAAGCATGATTATCCCTTAATTAATCCTCATTAATATTAATTAATCTCAATTAACATTAAACTAATCATGATTATCTTAAGTTAATCTTGATTAATTAGCTTAAACATGATTAAGTTAATTAAGCACGGCTAATGACCATTACTTAATTAACGATGGACGGTGTACCAATGTGAACGCGTCACAGTATAGGTAGACCGAACTTGACGTGAGGAACTTTAACTGGATTAACTATCGGAATATTATTCCGAACATGAACATGACATTCGAAAGTTAATTCGAATATTCTTGACTTTGACGATTTAATCCGAACGTTAATATTTCGAATAGTTCGTCAACTTAGCTTATTAATTCCAAACTCATTTAATAATTAAATGAATCGGAATTAAAATCTGAAACTTATTCGATTATCCAACCGAATAACCTATCGACTAATAGTCGAACATGGGATCTAACTGACTGAATCATTGGAACTTGGACATGAACAAGATTATTTATTAACAAAGTCTAGCTTAACATGAAAGCTAGTATTTTCCTTTATTAATAAAACTCGGGGTGTTACAATCCACCCTCCTTAAAATATTTCCGTCCCCGGAAATACTAAACTGAAATGTACAGGCTTAATATAAAGCTTATACCTCTTGCTGACATGACTTGAAAATTCATTATCAAATACTGAACATCAAACTTGATTTTTTTAACTGAGAAATCAACAATTCACAGTTAAGTGAGTTGATGATTTAACATTGACTGAAATGACACACTTTTCTGAAATAAAGT